CGAGGCCGCGGGAGTTAGGCGCTGTGGTCGCGGTCAGATTGAGCGAATAGCGCGTCAAGGGCTTCAATTTAGTGAGGTACTGAAGCGTGAAGAAAGGAGACAAGTTGGAGGTGATGAAATGACGCGGATCGTCGCGGTTCACCATCCAGAAGGTATATTTGCTCAGCTCTCCGTTCAGGGGCGTGGGCTTGTTCCAGGAGAGACGGAGGTAGTTGTCGGCCAATTCGGTGACTTTGAGGCCGGACGGCGCACCGGGAACTTTTCGTCCGAAGAGGTGGTACCGAGAGTGTGTTGGTGTGTGTGTGTGTGTGTGTGTGTGTGTGTGTGAAGAAAAGTGAATTTTGTTAAGGCGTGTCAATGTGTCTTTTGATCCACTCTGACGGTTTCAAGGTTAGAGGAGATTAATTAAGTATCAATTTGCTGCAAAGCAAAAAATGGTTGCTCCGTGTTAAGTGAAATTAAATAAATTTGTGCATTATGCCCAATTGCTATTGGTAAGAGTTGATTCGGATTAAATGGGTGAAGTTTAAGTTGGTAATATGCAATTTGTTTTGCTCCTCCTGAAAGCCCACCTGGTAGGGCTATATATTTCAAAGGAAGTTTCCTCCATCAAACTTGCCTAGAATGCCTAGAAAGAGAAACCGACAGATAGCGGTATGCAAGGAAAAGATGTGAATAATTGAGATAATTGCGTAAACACACGAAGTGCGGCCTTTCTTTGATGTTTCTCTCGACCTATCTTTGTTGAAGGTACTTTTATATCAGAATATCCAGCATGATTAAACGATTCGTATGTAGGTCTACTTGAGGTAAGCTCGATCTGTGAATCTCTTCATCATGCATTTTCATAAGAAATGAAAGTGTCTGCAACAAATTAGAAAAGAAGATAAAACTACAAATATGAAGACATGAAGACAAACGCAAAGAGAGAAAGAGAGTATGACAAAGATGGACTGAAAGATGAAAAGAGAGAAGGAAAGACAGGCAATTAGATAGAAAGACTTTTAGACACAGAGCAAAACAGAAATAAATAAATTGATACAGAGATAGCTTTCACTTCGTTTGGGAAGGCGGCTGGAAGGGATTCGTAGTTTGGCCCCACCAGATACCAAGGGAGGGTTGCCT